ATGAATCTTTCAGTATTGGGATGAGAGTTGGTAACGTTTTAAAGGCTGATGTATTTTCAGTCTCGTAGTCAGAGTAGATTTCAATGGCTGTCATAAAATTAAATTAAAATAAATATATAATATACAAGTAGATGTACTAAAAAGACAAACTTTACACGACATAATTTATTCAGAACAACTGAAGTTAAGATAAGCCTCTACTGGCGAGAAATTTGACCAACTTCATGATAATAATTAGAAATACGTTTTTAATAAAATGGGTTTATTTCAAAGTCTATCAAGGTTCTTACCTTTCTCCTCACGAGAAAGATGCTGCAATCTAGGTTGTTAAATATCTAAAAGATGAATCCCTTAAATGTCTTTACGAAAACTTCAAGACTTCATCTAAACAGAAATCCTTTTATCAAAAGAAAGTGTCACAAAACGTCTCAATGCCTCTTTCATCTAATATCAATTTATGAAAATATCATTAGTACCTCCTGATTTTCAATTGTGTTCTCAAGGTAAAATATTTCACATTTAATTTCCTCATGTGCGACAAAAGAGTGATTTCGAGCACTGAATATTCCTTCGCAAACTTTCGATGTCACAATATCCCGATGATACAAATTTATACTGGCTTCCCATCCCCACTCAGTCACTGAAACTTCTCCCTGTTTTTCCCAACCTATCTACAATTCCAAGAAATTGCTTTATCCCAGGGAGTTTCAAAACTCGGGTTGTACAGACAGACGCAGCCATTTTTGCTGCCATGAGGGTTAACTATACTAATCAATCTGTCTAAGATATAATCTAAAGCTTTTCCTTTGCCTTGGATGGCAGTTTTCTTTTTTCGGTGCTCGATGTTCATAAGCGGCGGGCGTTGCAGCTAAAAAGGACATCAGAGCTCTAAGTGCTCCGTAATTTCCTCCTTCCCAGGCTCCTAATCAAGGGAGTTTGGGCGACCGGCAGGAGAGTCCAACTAATTCTTTCTATACTATCTACCAAACACTTCATGTAATTTTTAACTCTGGGAATTTGATTTGAAATCATAAAATATCTCCCTACTGATATTTTTCTATTCCCTTGTCACCTTTCTGCTAATAAACAATGATTTACAATTCTTAGTTTTTATCCATCAAGAGTTTTCACATGTTTCTGATGGTTCATCTGTTATGGTTATTTTTTCCTTAATTGCTAATTTTTAGTTGCCCAGGGCACCCATTTATAACAACTTCAGCTGACGGGTTTACCTGGGTTAACTATGTCAGTTAACTAACTTCAAACTGCCAAAACACATCCAACGATGCAGATAGCTTGTCAAAATACAGGGATGTGATGTCTTGGCGTTTCGAGCAAGTCATCATCCAGCGTCAACAAACCCTGTAAAGACAAACTCGTAAGCATAACGCACAAACTAGCTTATATAATGACTGGCTGTTGCAACTCGCATGCGGTAAAACAACGAAGCAATCGCGAAGGCCAATCAGAAGAAAGGAAATTGTTCTGAAAGCGAAGGAGAACTCGGAACATTCTCAAGCGCGGGAAAACGCGGGTGACCAAGCCACGATTGGTTTAGTTTTGCACCTGATTGGTTGATAGAGGGGATCAAGTTTTCTACACCAATCAGAGAGAAAAGAGAAGCAAAGCCAATACAATTCAGGATAACTTTCGACACTTCATTGAAAATTAAATCGTCACGAAAAGAAATGCAAATGAGTGCTTACCAGAAATGAAAGGAATAAAGCGCAGGCGGACAGGAAGTGCCACACGTCATGATCATCGTAAAATCCCAGGAGGACGCACTCTTTGTTACCCTCCCTCGACCGAGCTGGAGATTTCTGCAAAGGATTCAGAAAAGCGGAATACGGTACACAGAGGGAACGAATACAAACCGCGACCTTTTGCGTTTAATCATGGAAGTCGCGTAACTTGCTGAATGAGGGAACGGGACTATTTTGTAGTAGGAGCGGGGAACCTAACAACAAAATGCTACGGGAGCAATAACAAATTACGGCATTATCGACTAGGTAAAAAGATTATGGTAAAAAATTTAAAAAACGAGCGCAGACACCCACCGACACATCCCCGAAGGTTGTGACTGACCATTCGGTCGACAATCGACTGCAATTCGATGGGCCGGCTATTGACCGATTGATTAGCAAGATTGCATTCGTAAAAAGGACTAAGAACATCGTTGAAACGTTTCATTCAAGCTGCGAAAACCGGAATAACAGATCTATAAGTGGTAGAGTTTGACAGACTTATGGAAGGTTTAAATCCATGTTTCATTTACCTGCCAAGACGTGAGATGACTCAGGAAAAAAACGAGCGCTAATATCCAACAGAAAAGCGTCAGACAAAGCGTAACCGAAGGGAACAATAAAAGCCTTTCTTTGTTTCTCAACTGAAAGAATAAATACACAAAGACATTTCTTAAATAAACTATGGGAAGACGCCCTTCTCCAAAACCTTAAAAAAATATGATACTTTTAGCAAGGAAGATCATGTCTCAAGTTGTAAGTTCTGAAAGAATCTAGGCAAATCAAGTCATCGAGGAAGAGAAGGTCGGACAGGATAGAGTACAAGCAGTCCCTCCTATTCGGCATGAAAAAAAAGATGAGGTTAGCGCGTCTCACTCCCAGAGTTCCGCTTGGCGCGCTAACATTTTTCCGATGAGTTTTTGTTGCTCGTGCGACAGTCTTCGCCGAGTAAAAGGGAATGCTCGTAGTGACATGCGTAGTAGGACATACCATAAACCCGAGTCTTGCATTGTCTTCGGTCGATAACAACTTAACTCAATCAACTCATGTATGGATACCTTCATTATGACATAAAATGCCAAATAGAGAATTCCGTTGACGATCAAGATAGCCAGCAGGTAGGTAGCAAAGTCATTAGGTGTAGCAGCAACACCGTAGATGGCACTGCAAGTGGAATAAAGAACTCACTTAAAGAACTAGTTTTATTGGTCTTTTCCAACTGTTGTTTATAGAACGCTTTGGTTTTCCTGATTGGTCCAAAAACGCCCATCATCCTCTCGACCAATCAGATACACAACGAAAACCAATCGTCCCTTCGTTACTCGCGTTTTCCCGCGCTTCAGACTGTTAGCTCATTTTTTGGGTTAAGCTCTCATTGGTTCCCCGTGATATTTCCCTTCCTCTGATTGGCTGTTGTAATTCGTTGGATTTGGTTACATAAAAACCAACTTAACATCGTTCTAATGTATTACAATGCCTAACAATACAGTAACAGCGTACTTACAAGACCCAATTCACTGCGTTAGCAATCACCAAGAGAAGCATGCGATCCTGCGCAAACAGGAGACAAAATACAACAACAGTAGCTTTGTTAATTTCAGTCAAGACTTGACCACTAAAAGAGGCAATCACCACTTGCCAAAGTCCACAGCTACAAAAGCCTTGAAAAAAATAGGGATTTTCCTGCCACGAAAACCTTCCATTTCTTCTCTTTAACCTCAGCAACCTTTTTTCTCTGATGTACACAGCCTATTTTAAACGTCTAAAAGCACAACTTCGTTAGGCTCGCGCGAAAAATGTTACCTACATCAAAAGGTTTGTGTATGTGTCAAAGTCTCTTACTTTAGACAAAATTAGAACTGAGACAAAGACATTTTTATAATTTTACCTTGTAAACCGGACACGAACAGCAATCATACCGCAGCAACACGAACACTCTTGCAAACATTCCAGCATCTGAAGAAGAAAAAAAATTTACAAAAGAATTTTCAAGTTCAATCCTACAGTATCTTAAAGTAATATGCCCTCCATAGTCGTAAATTAGACAAATTCTAGCCAAAACAAAGCCTAAAATAACCAAATAAACTTCAACAATTACCATCCAGAACTCACCAAACTTTACTCTTCCCATGTAATAGATTTGTGAACTGAGATACAGGCATCCAAAGATGTGGATAATGGCGAATGTTGTCCAGAAAGCAAAAGAACTATAAACCTTGAATGAGAGGGAAACAATCAAGATCTGCGCTTTAGTATATGTCATACCCCCCCCCCCCAAAAAAAAAAAAAAAAAATCCAAAATCTCACTTGGTTATTGTGACAGAACACAGAAAATTTGTCCCTTGTGAACCCTAGAAGTTGCTCAGCTTATCAGAGTTCTTTTTTACGTCTGTTGGTATAACTTACCACCGCTAGCAACACATATTCAACATCTCTCTTAATAAAAATCACATCTTAGACCTTCAAGCGGTTCCTCTGTTTGCAAGAGAGCGAGAAAGAATAGCTGAATATCGTAAACTTTATTCTTACCACTCCAATCACAGCGATGAAGATGATAGCAGCAAACCCTGTGTAAACAATGTGCGCGTTGGCGGCGATGTCTGGATGGCGCGTCTGATAAAGTTTTACTACACCCAGACAAGTGATGATGTACATAAAAGACGTGTCTATAGGAAAACACAAAAAGAAAATATTTATCACCTCGTTTGAATGCGATATGACGGTGTACTCCTTATCTGTATTACAACAAGATAGAGAGGGATTCTGCAGTACTGTTCTTACATTTTGAACAGCGTGCGGTCGAGTAAGATGTTACACTTTTCGGCGACTTCTGAATTTTGCTTAGCATGCGTTATCACTTCCAAGATTGCTTCAAATGTATAAAGTTAGTTGATATACAGTAACCTTAAAAATAAGGGTTCTCACAGGCGTCTGCATCTAGTTTGTAAACTAAATTGAAAACTATAAGACTCTCGTCTTGGGCTGGGAAAACTTACCAAACTGGAAATTAGAATTGTTAGGACACACATGGTAACAGCCTGATAAAACTCCTTCCATTATCAAGGCAAGACCTGTGATAAAACCAAAGAAGCTGTAAAAGTCAAGAGAAAGTGAAACGAAGGTATTCCCTGTAACTCTGGGCCACAAAGCTGTGGAACTACCAAGGCGATGACTGAAAATGGTGATATACACGGTATTTCACCGGATTGAGTATCGTAAAACCAAAATAGATGCTATCAGGAACTAATATGGACTCAAAGTAAAAACAAGCTAATTACGTGGAGCGCGGGAAAAACCAAGTGACCACCAAGCGGTGATTGTCGTTAGTTTTGATCTGATTGGTTGCATGAAAGAGAGGCGCGACTTTTCTGGACCAATCACAGACCAAAGCAATCCTGGATTACGTATGGATTACGCTCTACACTTGACTGAAAACAGACTGCAAAGGGCCAAGAAACCGATACACTCACCCATGGCATAAAATATGGCGTAATGCTGAGGAATGCCGTAATTCTGAAAACAGAACGTAAGTGCACAGAAAGTTTACCATGCATTTAAGAAGTACCTGGTTTCAATTACTCAACGAGACGGACTTAATCAATTCGCTCACTTTAAGGAAAAATGTCCTTGCTCTTGTAAACTTTCCACGTCCTGTCTATTAATTTTTGCTGATTTTTTTAGCCATCAAAATGTACCTGACTTATTTAAGAGTAACACGCGATTCACTTCTCTTGCACGTTAAAAAATCAAAATGTTTAATTTAAGAATAGACAAACTATGTAGAGTTGTACACTTTAAACGATGTAATTAAAATTGACGCGCTTAAAAATACCTTCTCCAATTCGCTGTTTTCTGCAACATCTAGTTTGTGTTGCCTGTCACTGAAAAAAATATATATGAGATGTCATAAACGTGACAAGAAAGTTGCAAAACACCATGTTTTAAGGAAAAACAAGCCTTCAGTTCCGAATGTGTACATTGTAAATAAAAATGATGTAATAACCTAGAAACAACTGTGAACGTACATGACTGTACAAAGATACAGTTCAAAACAAAGTCCTTCTACTTTCCGGAAAGAATATAATCATTTGACAGCCAATTTTTTAGCAAAATTTTTTCAGTGTACATACCGTCGCAATACAAGAAGAAGGAAGAGAAAACCCAACATGATATATCCAATGTTACTGAACACATTGTTAAACGCACTGCAATAGAAAGAACCACCTTCGATATGAATATAAATACCGAGCATCAGTTTCCAAGCTCATTGCCAATTTTTTACTGGCACAGTGCACAGCTAACTCAACAACTTAATATATTGTATCTTGATACGAGTTGAAGAAGGGAATTTACCTGGATAATATAAAATGAAAAACGGATTATTGTTTGGCTTAAGGGTTAAAAATCTTTCTCATACTGTTGCAACATGGAATGAAAGGGTTGCTCATCACAGAATGAATTGCTCATTGACATACCTCAACACCCCCAAGGGATGAGCACAAAAGAAGTTGTAGTAGCATATGTCTTCATCTCCACTAAAGTTAAGAACCTGTATTCAAAATTAGAAAAAACCATCCAATTAACAAAATAGTTTATCAGAAGCAACCCTCATAAAACTACACCCAGTTTCCAAAAAGAAGTAATAATAATAATAATAATAATAATAATGAATCTTTATTAAGTCATAAGATAAATAATCACATATCCTATGTTACAACATTAAAAGAAGGTATATATATAAATTACAGAGAAAATCAAGATAAAAATTATAAGACTAGATTATGTTTAAAAACTAAGCGATTAACAAACGTGTTTTTGAACCTATCAGTGTTTATTTTAGGATGGTGACTTGTCTCTTTCCTCAGATTGTACTTGGTTAATTTCTTTTTTGGCATTATAGCTCTTAAAGGGTGTATTGTATTATTAAAAACATTCTTGAAGATACGCGTGTCCTGTTGAACTAACAATTCATAAACATTAATGTGATCGGATGTATACTTGCGCTTATAACATCGATCTAAGAAACATTGGATTGTTGTTAATTCGGAATTTACAGCGCCAAATACGGACAGCCCGTATAATATATTTGGTAGAACCAGATTTAGAAACAGATGGTCTATTTCGGCCTGATTGTACCCTTCTTTCCTTAAAGATCTTAAAATGAACAGGCACTTGTTTGCTTTAATTAGTTTTTCCCGAATATGTGTTATGAACCTACTGTCTTCCTGAAATGTTACCCCTAAAATAGTAAGCTCTTTTGTCTGTGGTATTTTTGTCTCTTTTGTCTGTGGTATTCCAGACAGTATAAAAGTTTGTCCTTCAGTGTGGTCACTGTGGATGTGGATTGCGACATTTTGATTGCCAGTTTACCAGTGCCAGTTTGCCAGTGGATTTGGACTACACTCAGTTTATCAGCAATTTCTCTATGTAATACTTTCATTATTACATGGCTGGCTTTCCAAGCAGGCAAGATAGCCAGGGTAAATGCTCTTGAAAACAAGAAGTGAGTAACCAGACATACCTTCTGATATGTAATGACAAGCTGCACAACAGGGAGAGCATAAAACACGGCTATCAATAGCAGATTCCTGAAGATAGCAATGAGAGTACAGTCAATAAATAGATAATACTGAAACAAAAAATCAATAACAGGCTTAATTTACAAACCAGTGATAGTGTCTGTATTTCTTCTTCAGATACTTCTTTTCTTTCTTAGCCAGGTCAGTGAGCATAAGACTTGTCTGGTGGAAAAATGAAACAAATGAAACTAATCTTACTTATATAATGACAATACTTTACCATTGATGGAAGGGAAGCTGAGCTAACACAGCCATGATAAAGCCCCACCCTCCCCCCTTAACTTCTATGACTTACAGGGGTGGGATCCTGGCCACACTTTCTATCACTTTCTTATCCTTTTTCCAAGGTCTTTTTCTGATCATTCTCAGGTTTTACTCCTTCCACAAAAACCAGCACTCAGAATTTCGATTTGACCCAGTAACAGTGGACAAATAGCTACTGTACACCTCTTGGAAGTACCATCCATGGAATCTTACTTTCATTTATTTCTAGTGGATCATGGACTTGCATGTAACTAACTTAAAAATATCTACTCTGTAAGTTGTTCCATAAGATTAGTTTACATCATCAATTTAAACTAGCTAGTTTTCAAATCAATAGGAATGTCACCTGTGTTGCAACTACTAATATAAGATGAGTATGTTCTATTCCTGACGCTACCTTGGTGCAATTCCCATTTACTACATTATAACCAAATTTAACCATTGCCAAATATACATACCCTCAACCGGTATACATCTTTTTCCACTTCAATGTCATGCAGCATGTCATAATGTTTCTCAAAATCCTTCGATGATGGATCCATCACTCCACCAGTGACTAAGTGGTCATTTTCAGAGTGTTCCAGACTATCAGTGTCCAGCGGTTCATTGATTGGAAAGATGCCTTGTGGTGTTGATCCATAATGGTCTCTTGATCTTCTTGATCTTCTTGATGAGGATGTTCTTAGTGGTGCACTTATTGGAGCATCTGAGGCAAACAAAATGATTTTGAATTGAAATTAAGAAGGCCTTGATTGCTCTGGATTAACCTGGACTTAAAAGTGATTATATAGTTTCCATAGTCCAACAATACCGGTAAGTTAGCAGATGCCTGGATTACTGGGGTGTATCCTTGACTCATGAGTGCTTATGCAGCTGCCATAAGCCAACTGTCAGCCAGTGGACAGAAAATGACCAGGGAGGGAGAGAGGGAGAGAGAGAGAGGACGGGGGCAATGGAACTGTCGCCTAAAACATTTAATTTTTTCAACTAAGAAAGATCTCAGAAAAGAAATTCAAGGATGAATTGATGTGCTCCTGTTAGTGATACAGGTATACTTGGAGAAAAAAATTCAGGTGCTCAATGGGTGTCTTAATCTATGACCTGAAAAATGTTCTGAGCCAAAAAAAACTTACAGTGGCTCAGTGACATCAAAGCAAAATTATTGCATGTGACAAATACCCTGCCTACTGCTTGGCTTTGTATAATACAAGTACAGTATTTGATATGATGTTTTGGAACAGTGATCTAGAAATCTTAAATTGCTCCTGGAAGAAGAAAGTGTCACAGCAAATGCTGTGCTGTTCACACTAAAGAGAAAAATTACCTTGTTAAACAAGCCCTACGTACCTTTGTTGTTGCTCTCTTTTGGCATCAAAATAGAGCTGAAACTCTTTCTTCCTCTTTTTTGTCTAATGATGCAATCCAATAAAAATTTGTCAGAACTTCAGAACTTTCAGTTTGGTTGCATTTGTAGCTGGGGCCATCACCCTTCACAAAATATCATTCAATGGGAAAATTTTGCTCAAAATCCTATTTCCAAAATAAATTTGTGATGAGTAACCCAATAAGGTTCACAGATTTGAAAATTTCTAAGCAGTGCATTGAGATAGCAAAACATAGACAGAAATTTTCAAGTCAGTTCGTGGTGCAAGTAGTAAAACAGTGCAGCCGTTTTATTGTCTGAAGACTACATTCTAAGTGATTATTTACTACTTAACACTGAGGTACTCACCTACACCAGGTAAACAGAAGAAAAGAAAAGGCAATGATATAAAATGACCCGAAGAACAAAACTGGAGCCACTATGGCCGTCACATAGTCCTTTTCTGTGGAGAAAGAGAAGATTGGTAACTGATTACCACAATATTTTTGGAATTATGAATTTAATAAAGAGATACTTGAGAGAAAGGACTTACCAGACAAAGTACTTTTCACGGTTATTGTGACAGTCTTCTGTCTTTGGGACGATGGACCTGAAATGTCATGAGATTTTCACCTTTAACCCTTTAGCTCCCAAGATCTCATTAGTAATTCTCCTTACTGTCTGCCATACAGTTCTTGTGATGTTAGTTTGGAGAATTTGTTATTGGATCAACTTATAATCCCCAACTGATATTTTTCTTTATTCTCATCTCTTGCCTGCTTGATATTGTAGTGATATTGTAAGGAGAAATTCTGTCTTGGTCACTTGGGGGAGTTAAAGGGTTAAGTGTCTACCAAATTCAATAATTATTATAAATAAATAATAATTTTGGAGGAAGCTAATTTTTCTCTGATTGATAATTGATAAGGGAGGCAACAATGAGAGGGCTTTCAAGGAATAGTTAATTTAAAACTCTGCTCATTTAGTGACTTTCACTTATAACACTACATTTATATAATAACTGTCTAAATAGGTAATAAAATTTTACCATCTGAACTGTAAATTCATTACATTACCTGCAGAATGAGGATCTTTTGACACTGGTTCTCCAGTGCGTGGTTCAGCAAACCTTTCTCCAGAGACACATTCTTCATCAGATGACTTGACTATCAGTACAACATAAAACTGGGTCTGATTACGCTGATGACAAAAACAAAATAAAATAAGACACAAGTAGAACAGTGAGGATTTTCCAGTCAATCTCATTAGAATATATATAAACCCTAAAGTTCTAAATCTTGGAATAGCCCCTCCATAAACCACTGCATGAAGCCCTTTTCTAAAAAGTGTACATGTTATTAATCAAGAAAAGCTGTTTTTGTTCATCTTTTTTAAATTCAAGGAAGAGATAATTGTAGTGACTTGGTTTTGAGCTACGACCCTTGTCACTTTCCCTTAGCTTTAGCTTTACATTTAGATCCACACTGAAAATTTTGCCATCAGGAATCTTCAAAAGTGTACAAATACAAAGAACGAGCAAGGTGTGATGTTTCAAAATATTTAACCATAATGATTTACCTCTAGTGTGATTGCTGCTTTGGTTGTCATAGTCTGAAAGTGGCCTGTGAATTCCACATTTCTTGCCAAATCATACACTGGACACTGATAAATATTGTACAACAAAAAAATATCAGTTTTTAAACTCTACACATTTCTGTTTAAATAATTGTGTGTTTTCTGCAAGGTAGTCTGTAGAGCACTAATAAAACTCAGAAACTGTAAACACAGGTTAGAGAGAACACGAAAAACAGCAAAAAAAAATTGGTTTGTAGTTTTTAGGTTTGTTCTTGCTTCCTAAGCCTCACAATCACTGGTCAGTACACAGTCGATGGATCAAAACCAAATCAAAATTTTCAGAGTCTTGCAGTAAACTTAAGATTCCAATCATAAAAGGAAAAATAAAGACAAACCGTAGTTCCCTGGACTGATAGAATGGCACACAGTTTATAATCCTTGGATTCAGCCTTAATAACAACTGTATCCACTTCTTTTGGATACCTCCATAAGAAATACTGTCAAAAGTTAAATGAAAAAAATTATTGGCCCATGCAAGTCAGGGAAAACAGGAAAAAAAAAGAGTGGATGTAAAGGTGGAAGATTATTCTCTACAAAATTTAGCTGGAGAATTCTGCATAGTAGCAAAATAATTTTCCAATTTCTTGTTACCTCTTGTTGCCTGTACTTCCTAATACATATGTTTCACTCATACCACATCTTGTAACTGAGTATAAATTGACTACTTAAAAATCAAGAGCTTTTAACAGTATGCTATGTGCAAGCTTGTGAAAAAAGAGCTACCCCTCTATAAAAACATCTATAACCAAGTGTTTTAGACAAACCATTTATTATTGATACTGGATAGTTAGTAAATAAATCTACATTTATCTAAAGATTATCTTACCACAGGTTGTGCAGGGTCCACTGTAACTGTTAATGGTGTATTCATCCTATAAAAAAATTTTGAATTTTCATGTTACGCAAAGAAAAAAATATTTGGCTTGTCTAAAAATTAGCATGTACAGTGTAGTAGGAAATATAAATTTTCCATTATTCAATCAATACTGAAAAATTTAAAAGATTGACCAACTGTTAGCTTATCCTTCCTGATTTGATTAAAACCCCTATAACCTCATAAATATCTCCAAGAAAAGCTCCTTTCCAAACTTAAATTTTAATCCAGTACTTTAAAATTAAATGACTCAATTAGCTTATCTATTTTAACGTGGACAAAATCTAACAATTTTTCCTCTTTAAATAAGTGTTACAATCATTGTATTCATTGTTATTAGACACAAAAAACAAAACATGATGACTAACTTAAATCACCACTTTTCCCTTCTCTGCAGGGCTTATGTGAGGAAATAGCCATCACTGCAGGTGATTTTTAAGTTCTCAGTTAGACTCTACAGCTTTGTTAAAGCAAGCAAAAGTATAAAATTTTGGTTCATTATTACATCTCCGGTGGAGGTGCGGTGGCCTCATGGTTAGTGCGCTCGACTCCAGATTAGGTGGTCTGGGTTTGAGCCCTGGCTGGGGTCATTGTGTTGTGTTCTTAGGCAAGACACTTTACTCTCACAGTGCTTCTCTTCACCCAGGTGTACAAATGGGTACCAGCAAACGTGCTGGGGGTAACCCTGCGATGGACTAGCATCCCATCCAAGGGGGAGTAGCAATACTCCTAGCCACTTCATGCTTAGAAAACTGGAGATAAGCACCGGCCCCATGGGCTACTTGGGCACGTATAAAGGCTTTACTTACTATTGTATCTCCAAGACAGTTAGTTTCTCATTGAGCATCTTGAAACTATCATATCTTTTGTGACTATCATATACAACTTATTACCTAACTCATGATACTCACGATAACTGAAATTTGTCAGCAAACATTGCTTTGAGAGAGTAATTGACTGGCTTCTGTGATGATGTTGATACATCAATGGAAATTGCTTCTGATCTATTTAATTGTGTGATACCATGACTGAAGGGGCAAAGTGTTCGACTGACAAGATTGTAATTAAACCTGTAAAAGAAATTTCTCCAAATATAAACTCAAAATATAATGTACAATGCATCAGTTATAAGGTTTCCCTCCTATGCAGGAATTTTAAAGTTTAAAAGCTGACCAAAGTGCATGATAACATAATTCGTCTTTCAGCAATTACTAACAACTCTTCCAGCAGTGCGCTAACTCCAGTTATGTGCACCTTTTAAGTGTCCTGGGAGCAGTTGCTTACCAAAGATACCCCTAGTTACAAAGGCAATCAATAGTATAGAGCTCTTTCGTATTACATATCACCACTAATTATAACCTCACTATGCTTGGTTTGATATCTCTGGACAGGAGTATGAAAAATTACATTTCAGACTTACGATTGAGGCTTACAGTTGAAATTTCTGCTCAAAAGAATTTCAAAAAGCAACAAAAACAATTTTTCAGGACATACTTTGTTTGATGTCAATTGACTTTTCTGATGTTTTTTTTTTGGGGGGGGGGGGGGGGGGCATTTTTATCAAACCAGACCAACTTTTTTTGGTTTCTGTTCCAACAAATCACCAGTGGACCTTTGTAAATTGTTGGTTTTTTTCTCTCACCCCTCAACTGGTATTGGCCATGAAACCACTCCTCTCTGCAGCCGTGCAACAAACAGCAACGGATAATCCTGATTAGCTGATTGACTTTCCACTGTCACTCGAACTGCATAAGGCTGGGAAAACAATTAAGTTTTCAGTACCTTTATTTGGTACAAGAATAGAACTACAAATTATATATGAAACATAATATCTCCATTTCATAAAATACAACTCAATTGTATAAAAACATAAGTGCAAACATAGCAAGCATGCTGCAATGCTAAATTCAGAAGAAGTTAGACCAAACATAACTACACAATCATTTTCAAGTCATTTCAGGGGTTCACCCTTCTCTGAGTTTATTGATAATGAATATCTGAAACAAACCAAAAGAGAACCTACATTTGTTCCATAAATTTTACAATTTTATAATTTTACAGTTTTTCTAATTCTGCACTAATCTGGTGTTAGCTTTGTAAAACCTCAAACTCACCAGTTTAGTTTACAAGGAACGTATGGAAGTCCGTCGGGAGAATTACTTATTGGATATTGGGGTTGAAGAGGGGTAAGAGTCCAAACAGTCCCATAGTTCATTATTATCACAATTTTTGGGAAAAGAGAACGACAGCGGAAACATTAGATTTCTAAAGGGACTACAGCTTTGTAATATAACTGTATGAGGCTTTGTGGAAATCTGACCGTGAAATTTATCGAAGCGTCATCAACTAAATTCACCTCAGTCTTGTTAATCCAGGAGTAGAGCCAGACTTGTTCCCTGTGCTGGGAGACAACTCCATTTACAGTATGTCCCATGGAGGCGTTGCGATACTCGAGAATATTTGAAGACTCATGTAACACAAGTGTTCCACAAATAGGCAGAAAATACTCTGATATGCAGAGAATACATAGAAGAAAGGAACAGGTTTGTTCCATTGCCATTTCTGAATCGTTCCTAATTGACAAACAAGAAACTTGTAGGATAGCTTGACGTACAGGTCGCCGACATGTTGATTTCTGTACAGGCGTCACTTCCGGTAAAGCACGCAAAGTATGTTGGGGAAGGGAGAGCGCCGGAACTAGGTCTCAGTCTCCTCTCATTCTTTCTCTTATTTGTGGTCTCTAAGTACGTGGGTGGTACCGGTGTAGGGTGTGGGATTGAAAATGTCCCATGGTAAGAATATACATCACCTGTTGTCTACATTCTTTACCATCCGTAATTAGAAGCCACTCCCAAAAAGGACGAAAAATTCAAAACCAAACGAAGTGGCGCCGTATATCCTCTGAAAAATTTAAAAGGGCAGAAAATTTTACAAAGCGGGATTATTTGCTGACACGAGGTCGAGGTAAGGCTAGATTGATTTCGCCATTTTTATGCAGTGTTGTAGAGTCTTAAAACAGGATTTTTGATAAATCGTGCTCAATAAGTAGAGATGTATGCCAGGTTGGGTGATTAAATTTTCATTGTGAAATAAAACTCTGAGAGTTGAGTCAAAACAAAACGAATCAACTACTGAAACAAAAAGAAAACTGAAAAAAACGTATCATGAATGGTAAATCTCTGATGGTCCCTGTCAGCTGTGCAACACGTACGGTGTCACATGCAGTCTAGCTTTTTCATCACCACTCTGTTTTTCCGGCTAAGAAACCAATTTTCCCTGTTTTTGAGTTTTTCTGTCTTTTTGCTTGGGGTTTCTTTATCTTTTTTATATTTCCATGTTAAAACGCAAAAGTACATAAAAAATAAAGTGCATTTGTAAATCAGGTTCACATATACCCGTTTTTGATGATGGCACAAAGATTTAAATTGTGTTTTCATAGATCTGTGATGGTTCTCTGTGTGGTACGAGTTCTCAGAATGTTTAGACGGGCGGTTCCTTTACTAAGAGAGAGAAAAAAAAATATACAGTTTCTCAAAGGCTAAAAAACGTTTCCCAAACAATTGTTTAAAACAGCACAAGAAAACAATGCGGGAAAATGAATGAGTTTTTCTGGTCCTATTGTGGCTTTTCTTGCTAATTACACCTCGATCACATGAGTACAATTTACATGTAATTCGGAATTTTTCATAATCTAATTGCCAACCGGTTAATTGGTTTAAGCAGCTCAAAGGAAATTTAGCCGCGAGTTTTGCATCTTTAAGTTGGCATGAAAATCTAATAAATTTTGAAGAACTTCGTTAAAACTAACTGGATTTATCAGACCACCTGACAGACTTAACGTAAATGATAAGGAAACAGTCTGCTCTGAAACTGAATATTCTAAATCGCTCGTAGTTTACATGTCAATTAGGGAAACAGAGGCGCTATCCATTCCTAAAGTGCCTTTGTATTTAATTTTTCGGCGGAGACGCAGTTGAAATAATTTTATCACAGAGACGGAACCGCTCCCAAGTTGGCGATTCACCTGTGCAGAAGATAGTTTGTAAACATTGACAATTTGCGGCATTAGAGAGGATACCAGTAGACAGATTTTTTCATTATTCAAAAGTGAGTCTTTAAGTTCGAGGGTAAGGTAAACACGCTCTTTCCTCGTTTAAATAAAAGCTTTTCATTATCGCATTTAAGATTCTTTTATCAAAATTGCAGTCATGTTTAAAATCTTAACTTCCGGCGGAAATCACGCTCACAATCTCACTGTGTTTCCATCAACAATTTCTTTCCTAATATGATTTCCAAAATTACCTTCTTCGCTATTAAACGTTTTTTGAAGGATCATCATACTATTTTTGCGCGAGATACAAACAAAACGATTTAGAACAGCCCGACAGCTATTGTCTTTGCGACCTGCTAAGGAAAATAATAGATTGGCGCGTTCAACGCACAATTGTATTATGATTGAGTGATTGACATATGTCACGAGGTCGCCGAATTGAGAGTGTTTCAAAAGCTCCGCTATCGTTAATAATGGTCATGTCTTCATTACTTCGTTAAAGGTTTTCAGTGTGGGGAACGTTCGTTTCGATTTCAGGAAAGGATAAAAGAGAAAAACAAATAACACAGAGCAGAGACTACAACTTTAGACATCTTTTCCCGAGTGGTCGCGTTCGGTAGGTATTGTTATCCTACTGAATATAGCAAGTTCTGTGTGAACAACGCTTTTGAAGTGTGTCCATTTTTGTGCTTTATGTTTACCAAGCTTCTTGTGTTTGTAGGTTAATTTTCTTAATGCATTCTTTAGAACTAGTCTTGTGATGGTCTTGCGACCAGTTAAATTACTAACATAAGGTTTGGCGCCCGAGTAATCCATGGCATCTCGTAGACGCTAGCCTGCTGGCTATTAGCTGAGTAGACATAAATAGCTTCTGGTTCGCTGGGTTTATTTGAACTCCTCGCTCCTAAATTTATCCTCTATTATTTTCTCGCTAACGAATATTCGGGAAGAAACTTGTAAACGTGTTAGGTCGATAACGAGAGGATTACGAGGCTTTTGTGAGAGCGGAAGCTACAGGTTTTCTTCAGTCTCGTAAGAAGATAGCGAGTTGAGAGTTATAATTTCCTTCGCAACTCGGTATTACATCGAATCTCGTTTTGAACCTTGATGTCGAGATCTAAATTACTAATGGTTTTAAAAGCAATTCAAATTTTGAGTCTCCTCTTTAAAAAGCTCTCGTCACTAAACTGAAAGTTTTGGTAATGAGAGCTTCATATTAAAAAATACAATGACCACAATAAATTGGGCCAAATGTGCGAAATTACATCTCACTTTATGAATTTTGAACCAAAGAACGAATTCATTCTCTGTGCTTTGTTTTGAAACATCTTTAACTGTAATTTCACTCGAATAAAGTTGGCTTTCTAACGGAAAATAATCTCGTTTTGTATTTTTTAAAAATGAGCCGGAGCCACTCTCGAATTTTTCCACACCGATCAAAAGCGCCTATCTTTGTTATGTTTGAGACTAATGTCATACGTACGAAAATCTTCCCATGGGTAAAAGGCGACATAAATTAGCTTCGAGTGTTATTTACCCACATTTCTGTCGTTATCTACCTCTGTTTGCCGTATAATTTACTCAGATAATACTTTGCATGTTTCTTACGTTCAATCTGGCGTCGTTTATAAACGACATGTGTGTATCAAGTTATGACTTCTGTGGGGAATCAACATGTTTTCTTGTGGTTTAATTAGCAAGGTTGTTTTATCGATAAATAATAAAACGTTGAAGAAATCAAAAGTTATGTTGTGATTTCGGTTTGTGTGTTACACGACACCGGTAAACTTCTGAGAGCAATCGAAGCAAGGTGCATATTGACGCGAGACATCAATTCTGCGAGATAAGGACAAAGCGGTATTTTTCTTGTAGATCAACTAACTTCATAGGTTGCCATTGTGCTTCAGATAGTATAAGCTAATTTTGATGAAAGTTTTAAAATCGTGACTTTCATATCGTGTTTTATTTCGACATCTTTTCCAATGGGAACTCGATGCTGCAATTTTTTTGTTTGACGATTGACAAAAGCTCAGTTTTTCTCAGCTTGCTTTGAAGCTTACGGTTCAATGTAGTTGTTCTTTTGTAAAGACAAAAAGACGCAAAACAATCATGGTCTGTGTTTTTGGGCATTAGAGCCAGAATTATGCGTTTGAATACTGTTTACACTTTTTCTTTTCTTTTATAAATCTTCCAATCTTGTTGCTCAGCCTATTGTACAAGATCGGCTTTCTCAGCTGGAAAACTTTCAAATATCCGCAAAAGCTCACGCACGTTTGAAAAAAGACAAAAAAAAACTCTACGCGCCGTCTCGATAAACCATACTTCTCAAAGCCTCTTTTATTTTCTTTGTTGTTTGAAACACGCTAGGGACTAAATAAATAACAGTATCTGTGAATGTAATTGCCTTAGTAGGAATCCCTGTTAATAACAATCACTCAACATCTGACTGAGAGGTTCGTTTAGCATTCTTGAGCAAGGAAAAAAAAGTCACGCTCAATTCACTTCAAACCTGCATGATAAGCACATGTTTTGTATGTGACTGCACCATTGGTGCTGAAAACTTTAGCTTATGATAGCTAGTGACTTTTTAAACAACGGGGTTTGTAAATGTAACAAAATTGAAATAGTGAAGTGAAGTTAACTTGTGGATGTTGTTGATAGAAGACAGTGGGTGTTCAGGTATCAAGTTTTACAGTCCATTTATGTCTGTCATGTCCTAAGGTGCATGTTGCTTGCCCCCTTGCCAGTTCTAACACTTGGTTTTATAATGCTGTAAGGGTATGGCAATGAAAAATTCTTGGACCCATTATTTCAAATGCTTGGGTCTTTGTTTCTGTATTGGTCTTTTGTTATCAAGGTTTCTTGATGGCTTTCCTCCCCCATTCTAACTTTGAACATTTGTCAAAATTGCACATTTTAGTGCAAGGGAAGGTATTAAGGTATTTTCCTATTTACTATTTACTATCAAGTCACTTGAGATGTCAAAGATGTTTTAGTTGTTCTTTATTGGGCTTGTGCATATACATTAGTGCTCTTGCAGGAACCATTTTGGTCACCATTGAGTGTAGAGAAAAGTTTTAGGGACCAAATTATTCTGTGAAAGTTGATAAATCTCTGACCTGTATTTGGCGGTCAAGTACATTTGGCAAGCTGTAACATTTTAATTTTTTTAATTTTTATGAAATGCTAGTATTCTTCAAAAAAAATTGAAATTCTTCACCTGTTTGGTAATCTGATAAATGTAGAAATCTTCAGAGAAACTGGAAAGTTTATTCTTTATTGTCGATTCAAACTATCATCAGTGATCTTCAGCCCTTTTATTGTTATACTTTATATAAATAATGTCACCATTCGTGATCCAATATATCTTAATAAGTATTATGAATATCCCAACATCCAATTAAAACAAACAGGGAACTGCTACTCAGAACCCCAATATGTTCTTTGTATGAGAGTTTCAAAATCTGGTAAGGTAGAAGATAGAAGCATGATAAGCTATTAAATGTAAAAAGCACATTTGGTGTAAATGTATGGATGATTATTCTTCTCAACTATGTAACTTCCAGAAGTAATTAACATGAAATTTCTCCCTGAAATATCCATAAGGTATCTAGCAAACAGGTAATGAGAATATTCAAACTTATCAACTAATTTACAAGAAAATTTGAAGCAGCAAGAGGGAATAATTAATAATCAGATCCTGGGAGTTAAAGGGTTCACTTTGATATTTCTTAAATTGCAAAGGTGACCAAACAGATGAATCAAAATGCTTGAAATCTCATGTGCATGTACTGGGTATATTATTCGAAGGAACACATGTATCCTGTTTAATGTTTTTATCAGAGACTGCATGTGAGTAATATGACCTTTTGTGTATTTTCTTTTATGTCTCAGATTTTTGGTGGAGGCCATGAGTGTAATCAGCATTGATTGACAGTCTTTTTAATTTCAAGCTTGGAGATGAGATATCAAGGAATGGGACCGTCATCTGTCTCTGTTTTCATATTATGTTGTATGTGGATCCAGACTGCTAAGGGTCAAGGTAGCCTCATTGTTGTATTTTATGAATATTGTTTTATAGCAATCAGGGGGAAACTGTCTGTGCACACAAAGAAATCAAATATTGGAGTTCAGAGGGGTTTTTGGTGGAAATGGAATTTATTTGATTTGTGGTTTCTTCTCTCAAGGACCAAGATTTAGCATTAATATGCATTTATCTTTAACATTGGGAATTGCAAATCACACTAGTTAAAAGTCATTTTGATCTTATCTTCATCCAGTCATTCTAATAGAATAAATATTTATAAAAGGATGTAAAATGCAAGTCATTTGGAAATTATAGTGAACCTCCAAGACCCTATACCACTTGTTGGGCTTAAAATCAAAGAACAGTTGCTCTCCACAGTCAGTATTCTGGGTAGCAGACATTTTTTTCTGATAGATAGGCCTCTCCTATGTTAATTTTCTTTCTAAAATTTTCTTTTACCTGTTAAATAAATTTTGTCTCTTCATGGTCATAGCTTCTGATAGTGTTGCATCTTTGTATGGATAAACAGCAATTTTCTGATATAATGCTTGGTTAGCCCTTTGCATCCTGACGTCAGTATGCATATTTTCCATACTGTTCTATGCACATTTCATAACATGCTGACAAGGAGAATTTGTTTAACAATCTGGAACTTTTTTGGTTAGTGATCATTTCCTTTATTCTCATGACCACAATGTTTGATTCAGGGGGGATGATGTAAATAGAAATTAGCTGTTAACTGCTCTTAGTGGTCTGATGGTTGATGCTCACAAAGTATTTAACTAGCCAACACTTCTTTATTATTCATCTTTGTGTCCTTACACTTCAGGACGCGAACCTGTTATCACAGAACATCCTTCTGATGCTATTGTTCTTAAGGGGTCACCAACTGAACTGAAATGTAGTGCCTCTGGATCTCCCACACCATCAATTTCCTGGTTTAAGGATGGAATTCCTATATCAAGTGATAAGAGTGGGAGAAGAACGATTCTACCTGAAGGAAGCCTCTACTTTGTGCGAACTGTGTCAAATAAGCGGAGAAGATCTGATAGTGGTACTTATCAATGTGTGGCTATCAATCGCTATGGTACAGCACGCAGCCAAAAAGCAACTTTGTTGATTGGAAGTAAGTGATTATGTCATGATGCAGCTGCTTATATCACCAACAACTGTTCTTTTCAAAAATAGCGTAACACTGACATTAACACAATTTGATCACCTATGTGTGGCGATTTTGTATAATGTTATTACTAATAATAATCAATTATGCACAATCTCATCTTCTAGCGCTGAAGAAAGTGTTCCGATCGAAACCTTACAACCAAACGGCATATCCTGGAGAGTCAGTTGTTATGAAATGTTCTCCTCCAAGGGGTTACCCTGTTCCTACTGTTTCTTGGTTACATAATGGCCTCCCTGTTACAAACACAAGTAGGACATTCATTTCACCCAAAGGAAACTTGACAATTTCTTCAGTTACTGAGGCTGATCAAGGAACCTACGTGTGTAAATCAAGCAGCCCTCTTGGGACACAAAACAGCAACAAAGCATGGCTTACTATTGGTATGTAAAAATGTTGATTAAGATTGTTATCAATTTTTATTAAATTGCTTCTTGTGGGATGAGATAATTAAGTTTTTTTGCAATTGTTATAAGCAGACCTCAGAAATAACAGTTATCTTATAGCTATTTAAAGCTTGAATGTAAATGTAAGTGCTTTTTGTTGAAGGTTTTTTCTTCTCTTTAGAGAAACCAGGCAAACCCCTCACTGTCAAACCAACTTCGCAAAATGTGCTCACTGGAATGAATGCAACTTTCCAATGCTATTACAGAGATGGTCCTCAGGATGAAGTAATGTGGGAAAAAGAAGATGGATCTCTGCTTAGTTCAAGACATGTTGTGGAAAATGGATTCTTGACAATAGAAAATGTGACAGTGCAAGACAAAGGAACTTATGTCTGCAGAGTAAAAACAGGTGCACAGGACCTTACACTTCAAGTCACTCTCAAGGTTAAAAGTAAGTATTTGCCAATAAATGAGCTGCGATTTTGTTTTTGTTTTGTTTTGTTCTTATTCAAGATGTTAAACGATGCAGATACAGTTACTGTTAGTAATAACTTATTATCAAAAGTTTATGGAGTGAATTGGTCACTTTGGGGAGATTCAAAACATTAAAGGATTCTGAAAGTAGTCACAGAGTTCTCTTAGCACTTGGCACTTGGATATGTAGTATATGTACATATATACATTTTGATATTTTGATATCCATTGATTTGGATACAGATTACCCAGGAAAGAAGGAATTACTTGTTGTCTTCATAACCCTGAGGTTTTCTTACTAACTTGTTTTCACAAAAACTTTAACTTTTTGGAAGAGTGCTTCTCTAAAGGAGTAGAGAGGCTCACAAAGAAAAGTTTGATTGTAATTGGTTGGTAGTTCTATACAGAGGTAATATTACTCTGTATATTTTCTCACAAGAAGCTGATGATTAGGAATGTTACTAAATGTTTACATTTCTTGTTAAATTTCTTTCAGCTAAACCAAGAATTGTTCAACCCCCAGGGGATGTTATTGTTAAGGAGGGAAGCCCAGCTAAGTTTGTTTGTAATGCCACTGGAGATCCTCAGCCAACTGTAATCTGGGAAAAACAAGGGAAAGACTCATCCTCTATGTTCCCAGCAATGAATTATTATGGTGGTAGATTCTCTGTTTCAAGCTATGGTCTCTCCTTGGATATTTCTAGAGTAGAGAAGCAAGATGAAGGGGTGTACACTTGTTGGGCATTGATTCCTGGTGCTACTATATCTGCTGATGCAACACTTACAGTCATTGGTACGAGCGTGATCTGATCTTTGTGTTTTTATTTATACTAATTGACCTTTATCCTCTCTGGGAATTTGAAGCATAATTTAACATTCAACCGATGTGTGAAATGTAGTTTGCACTTATTATTTATTTTTAAGACCAAGCTTTGGAAACTGAAGTTCAGTTCTTTTGAATTAATATTTATCAGTGATGATAAGGTATTAGGCATACAATAATTTTTAGATCTGATAGAATTTGTAGAGGATCATTACTATTATCTCTAAAGGTTCCTGCGCCGCATTAAGGCACCTTTTAATTTGGTTAAGGTAATCATGGCAAGTGAGTCATCAAGAGAATCTGTGTGGTTATCCTTGACCTGATTCAAATTAGGGCACGGTTTAAAGAAAAACTGTGCATGTCCTGATTTCTGGAGTTTTGCCTTTAGGACCCACAGATATTGTGCCATCAGTCGTGACAGGTCCGCTTAATCAATCGGTGGATGAAGGAACAAATGTAGATTTCTTCTGCAAAGTGAAAGGCAGCCCTGAGCCATCTGTCAGCTGGTTTCTGAATGATGATGACTTTCCACTGCAGAGTACAGCTAGGATTTCATTAACACAGACTGGTTTGACCTCACACCTGACCATTTCTAATGCAACTGTGAATGATAAAGGAATGTACAAATGTGTTGCCACTAGCAAAATTGGAACTGCCTCAGAGGAAGCAGAGCTAAAAGTGAACAGTAAGTTTTTTGTTGTAGAAAGATCTCAACCTTGAATTCAGTGAGTAAACTGAATTTTCCTCTATAATCCTAATTGTTGCATTTGTATCTCTCTCTCTCTCTCTCTCTCTATTCAGAAGTGATCATTACTATCACATCCCCTCCTACAACGATGCCAACACCAAAACCCACACTTCCTCCTTTGGATGTAGTTGTGACTTCTGTGACACACAACTCTGTGGATTTAGCATGGAGTTCTGTGACTTCTTCAGATGTCTCAGACATCATGTATGTAGTGGAGTTCCGCAAAAGGAATGGCAAGCAGCCATGGAATACAGCTGTAAGCTCCCTGAAGGAAGACAAGCTTACTGTTAAAAACCTGGAATCTGAAACATGGTACTTGTTCAATGTACGAGCAGTGGGCCCAGATGACAGTACTCTCACAAAACCTTTAAAACCACTGTCCCATAGGACCAAGAAAGCACCAGTGGTAGCCATAAGTAAGTTAGATATTACATGTGTAGCAAATTTATTGGTTATTTTCCATGATGATACTGGTTTG